CACCTCCAAAGAAACAGAGAAGAAAGAAATATGTATGGAACAGGAACCAGGAGAATAAAGAGCAGCACAAGCTGGAACAGGAGGAACGTGATACCTTCACCAAAGCAGCTGATGCAAACGCTCAAAGAATTAATTCTAAGAGTTTTCATCAGCTCATCAGGGACAATTCAGCTGTGTAAAAGAGAAAGCAGGGAAAACATTGAAAGAAAACCAGAAAAATGATCAGCAAAACCATTTTAGGAGTACAGAACAGATCAGCACCATGGGAAACTAATTTCAACAAACTGAAGCATCCCAGCTTAGGCCTCCTGTTGCAACTAAGGACACAAATGAGAAAATAAAATATTTCAGTGAGAAGTACAACTAGGGTAAATGTTGCAAGTTTGAGATGATGAAATGGTTAATAAAATTCTTGGATTTCCACAGATCATGAGGCAAGCCTCCAGAAAAGTCTCCAGATCAGTAGATAAAATGGGGAAATGCCCCTGCATGTCTAGAAAAAGCTGAGGAGAGCCAATCTAACCACTGCAGCAACTTCAGACTCTTCTTTTGGTGACAAGTAAAGTCTTTGTCTAGATGATCTTGCACACAGTAAGGGAAGTAGTTGGGATGAGGATAGTCATACAGTCAACAGATGTCCAATGAGACAACCATGAGACAGAAAACATTCATAGATAGCACTGACAAGTACTACTGGTACTAACTGTTATCATAAACCAKAGTAATAACAAAAGACCATCTGACTTCTTCTTCATAATTATCTTTGGGATGCCCTACTACACTGCGCCAAAATTACTTGTTAACATAATTACAATCCTACAACCATGAAATACAATGCACAGTTGAAGCCAATGACAAAACAGATGGAGAAAAGTGWTTCAGCATAGGTAGGAGTTTCAAAGAGAGTATCAGTCACTCACCTTCACCACAAGACATGGTTGGTGATCTTATTGTGAGAGACAGCACATCAGCTACAACCCAGGCATTGTTTTTGTCCAGGACAATATACTTAATTACCTACATTTTGCTGACAATGGAGCTCTGCTAAGATGCAATTCTGCAGATAAAGACTAAAGAGAGAGTATCCAGCTTTGCAAGAAAACAATGAGTTTATAATCACTTATGATTAGATAAATCCCATGAGAAACCCCAGCAGCTTCTAACTCAAGGATTACTTTAGAGGTAAAACAACACACAACATGAGTCAATTTGCACACCAGCATCATGCGAGGTTCTACAGAAAGCAGTTGGCCRGCAAGTTGGAAACTGCATTCATCAGCTTGAACATGTTCAGACAGTGAATAGCCWTTTCAAGGCTTTGTTACAAATCTCCAGCATAGATGGTGGATATTTCCACTTTACTCTCTAGTGCAGAGGTCTGTGAAACAATTGGGCCTAGGAGGTTTCTACCTGCCTTGTGGGCTGTTGGATTTCACCTAGTATTTGCTGGCAACAGGGAATTATGAGACTTGAGATATTTGGCTTCAAACCTGAGTCACAGATGAGAGTATTTTGTATGTGCTTCCTTGGTCATGACCTTGCCCTGACTCTAAGGCAGGCCTGCTGCCTTCTCCCTGYGCCAAGTCTTCCCCTGGCTCTATCAGTCTGCTCCAGAATTTCTTCCCCTACTTGGCAGAGCTGTGAACACCCACAAACAGTGATTCTTAACAAGAGCATTGGGAAGCCTGTCTCAGATGCACAACCGTAGCATCCTCCTGGGATTTTTTGTTTCTATATTCAAACAGCAACCAGATACATCCCATTCCTTTATAGAAAACTACCCCAAAATGGAGTAAAGGTAATGTTTCTGTGGGAGTGGCAGATGTGAAATGTGAGTGTGTTACATACAATTCAAAGTCGCTGCTGGTTTGTTGCCACATGCAGCACAATTGGATTTCTCAACTTGAGCAGTGGTAATCACGTGCCMTGGTGTTGCAAAATGAAGGAAGGCAGCAATAAGAAAGGCTCTTTTGCATTCCATGAATTAGCAGAAACAATATATCTTCTGTTGCTTTCRTACCTGATTCAGTAGTTGCTTGCTTGTTTCTGTTGGTACAAGGGCCAAGAACCGTGAAGAGCTGGAAATGCCAAGGCACACGATATGGAAGAGATCAGTCCAGGATTGGCCTCATACTGGCTTTTGAAAGAAAACTCACCAGATTTTTCATCATTTATACTTCAGTATAAAACTCTRAATAAGTTCTTTTAAAATCTAGGACAGCTACAACAGTCAGAAAAATTCAGCTGTTTTTTATTCACACAAATTTAGTAGCAGCTGTAGTTTCAGCATAAAATAAACAACAAAGAGAATTCTTTCCCTTTTGTTGTAAGCTCTCCATGCTACTCAAACCTCTGTGCATACAATGTTGAAGGTCTTTTCCCTTCCAGATGCTGCTGTCAGTGATCCTGTCTGTGCTGGGATTTGCAGGAGGAGCRTATTGTGTGGTCATCTCCTCGCTGGGGCTGATTGGGGGTCCTCTGTGTGACACAGGTGATGGACAATACCTCTACCCTTTCAGGAATGCCACTCTGGAGTGAGTATGGCTTACARGCTCCTCCAATTTTACTTTCCCTGATCTCTTCCCTATCTTTTTCCAGTAAACTTGGATTTTTCCAAAAGGAACTGATGGCTCACTCTGTGAATACCTACATTTCACAMTTCTCTGAGCAGCATGTTCCAGCTGGTCATCTCTTTGACCRAGGAATYATCCCTGCCCAAGTTTCTTTTGTTGTGCTTGTYACAAGCCCCTTGTGCAATTTGTACCATGCTGTCAAAAGGTTGGTGAGCTGTGACTCCTGCCAGAGTCAAAAGGAAATGTTCGCTTACTGTGCCACATTAATCTGTTAAATCATCTAAAATTCAGCCTGCTCTACCTACTTCTGAAAAGCAAAGCAAAAATCTTCTCTGAATCTTTAAAGTTAATCTTGACCAGCATGCTCTCCAAGCCAGAGCCAGAGAGAATGAATGGACTGGGGTGAGATACCACAGCAGGAATGGAGAATATGGAGACACATTTTAAAACCCTTACAGACCTTTCTCTTTGGTTATTAGCATAGTTTTGTTACAGGAAAGAGGAGATTCTTGTGCATGCAACAAAGTACAGATGCAGTTCTCTCCCCTAGTTATCAATGGCATCTCTGCAAAGGGAATTCTGGGGAGAATCACCAGCTTTTACCAATTATAGTACCATCTGAGACTCACTTTGTGCTATCAAATTCAGAAAAAATAATACCAGAAAACACAGAAAYCATTCTCAAGTTTTCACTTTCTAATACCTTGCCAATTATTTTCCTCTATTGCAGAAACAATTACTTGTTCAACCAGACAACATGGAGTATTTGCAAACAACCTGAAAACATTATCCTTTGGAATATTGTCCTTTTCTCTATTCTCCTGACCATTGGTGTGATTGAAGCTATTCTTTGTATTATTCAAGTCATCAATGGACTTACCGGCTTCATATGTGGCACATGTATGAGGAGAAGAAAGGTTGGTATGGAGTAAAAGCGTGCTTTACATTCTTTYCAGTTTTATTTTTCAGGCTCTGGTACTGGTACATGGTCTGAKACATCTGCAGAGCCCCTGGATGAGCTCCTCTGGGGAGCTGAGGCAGTACAGATGCATTTGCACATTCTCTTTCTCTCTATCACATGATAGTCAGGGGTAACACCGTCCTTTGATTTTTCTAAACAGCAAACCACTATGACATATTGACATACTCACTTGGTTGTGCTTCTATTTAAGAAGCCTTTTTCATAAAGTGTAATGACTCTCCCCAGCATCTGTAAGTGAGAGACAAAAAGTAGACATGTTTTAAATAGGTCAACAGTAGTAAAATTGTTATTTTACAGAATGGAAGAAAACATTTTCCAAGTTCCATTTATCATTATTGCTTCCTTTTCATTGTTTATTTGCACTGTACAAGATATTTGCGGTTCAGTCTGATATCCCCCTGGAATATTAATTAATCAATAATTTTTCATTCATTGCCTTTCAGACAAACATTTCTGGAATGTGAACGACCTGCAAGGAATGCCAAGACAAGCCCCGAGCTGCCGAGTCATATACAATAAGGATAGTGCACTGTACTGTATTTATGGGGGGACAACAAAGAAAATCCAAAATGTTCAGGCATTTCATGAGGCAAAATTATTTTTTTATAAAGAAGTCAGGATGGAAAAGGAATAGATCATTTAGATCATAGACTCCACATTCTCATCTCTCTAACATACCTGTTAAAACTCAGGTACTGGTAAACACATTAATATGTCTGGTCCTGACTKCTGTACTTTTGTATAAGTCACAACAGTCCTCAGATAAAAGATCACCACTTGCCCTCTCATGTATGTGGGAAATGGCATGTTGTTAATGTGTACAATTATCAGCTGCATGAAGTAGGTACTYTCTGGCTGATGTAAATAACCTCCTGTCCTCCCCAAATCCCACYGTGAGCTCACCCATCTGTTCCCATTAATTTTCTAGGAGAGCACTCACAGATTTGAATGATGAGGATTGAAAGGATGAGCAGAGCATATATCGAGCAGTGTCTGAGACACTGCAAAGGCAACTGAGGAACATGGTTTTCAGCCTCCTTCTGCCACTCTGGAGCCAGATTCCCTTGTGCCATGGTTTACTGTCATGTTTGACAAAGCCCAGTGCACTTCTAAATYGATTCTTCAGGAACATCTGAGAGATGTGGGAACATTAGAGGGGCATTTGAGTCAATAGAGACAGGAGAGTTTGGAGAAAGAGTTTAGAAATATCTGGYTTAACAAAGAATGGAGAACCTCACCACCAATTTTGCCTTCATGAGGCTTTGTAAGAATTTCACTAACTTCCACACAGGTCAGTATGGCTGTTCTAGAGTAGARYACACAGAYCAAGCAATYAACTAGCCAAAGATARACACAGATATAGGTAATAATTATGYGCAGCTTAGTAATAAGTAAAAGATATAATCTGAAGGCAACAAATTGCATCAGTTTTAGTGTTACAGCAAAAATAATCTCAGGYAAGAACTACTTAATTCCCAATTCAAGCAATCCTTTGACCCTGAGATAATGTCCATGACTGGGGAATTTCAGAAAACTTCAAAATCAGTGAACAAAATTTCAATGACTTCCTCAAAGATTTATTCTTGGACATGAACGGTCTTCCTTCCATTAGCCAAACTGTGAAATAATCTTTACTCATCCCAAGTGCATGTATGCAGCTATGAAAACCTGAATACATTTAAAGGACTTGGGGCCTATTTTTCAAAGAGAGACATYTATTTTTTCTCAAAGTTGCTCATATTTCTGCATTGTAGCATGGGAGTAAGCTCTTTAAAACACACTTATTGCAGACATATGTGGATGCTCATTCTGTCCTCTAATGCAGCACTCAAAATGCTTCACATTCTCCTTTATATAAAGTAGGGAAGAAAATGTCAGTTGCCTAGATGAGGAGCATATGGACCTTGGAGCACAGTTTCGCCCCTAGAAACAGGAAATTTAATCCATAAAACTTAAAAGCACGTTCTGTAAAGAAGAAAGCATAAGACTTGTCAAAGTTTGCAATCATCAGGTGCATCCAAACCTGCCAGATGGCTTAAAAAGCTCATGTTCATTGTCAAGAGTGAAGTCTGGACACTGCCACCAATTGAGCAGACAGCAAACCAGGARAAGAGGTAAAGAGGCAGCAAGAAATAAGGATATTCACATGTAGTGAGGTGGAGAGATACTCCTTCMTCAGCAGGGGCTCTATGAACTCTTCATGGTCCCTAAATATCCTCCCTCCCTCATCCCTCAGTTTTGACTTCCTGACTCTCACCTCTGGGATAAAGCCAATTTGGGCTGTGCCAGGACCAGGAGAGAGAAAGATAGCTGTCTGCTGGCACACCTCCAGCATGGAGAAGTAARTGCCCTGTGCTGCTGCCATCTGCTCATTCCAGGCTGTCCTGCCTTGGGGATGTTTCATGTCATGTCTGTGTGCCCCTGGGGACACCCTCTGTCCTGCCAACTGTGTGACCACTGGCCTCACTGATATATGTAAATATTAAATATTGCTATTCTGAATTTATTTCCTGGCTTGATTTGTGTGATCGGAAGGACTTATGAGTTTAAACTACCTCCAGTAGGAAGATAATTGGAATAACAGAGAAAGCAGAGTTCAATTATCCAACTTGAGCCACTGTGAAGAAGTCTGTTCTAGGGTAGGCATCAAGATACACAGTCCTTGGGGACAGGCAGCCTTCCCCCAGCCCACACTGAAAGAAATGCCTAAGGCAGGTGGGAGGCACTGCCTTTTTAGACAAGGCTCAGTTGTCCACCGTGGACAGGAGCATCTGGTGCTGTTTGAAGAGCAGCAAAAGACCCACTCGGATGTCCAGAGATCCGAGTGTCTCATCTGGTGTTCACAAAACAAAGGTGTGGATGACCAAAGCAAACACCTGTCTCTTGCAAGCACAAGGATGTTAAAAATCCATTTAGTGAAAATACATAAAGGTGACTAAAATTAGATGAAATTATTTCAGCTCAGGCTTTTCTTGGATCCTCCAAATTACCTTTTACCTGAGCCAAAGCCTGTCCTCTCAGAAGTGTCACCAGAGCCTTCTCAAGGAGCCAGCCATCCCACTGCAACAGGGGCAGCTCCTCAAGCCAAGCACTGTGGGGACACTTGCAAACCCAAGCTCTCCTGGTGGGCAAGGAAAGCTTCAAAAGAAAAGGTCTACACAATACTAAATAATAAAAACTTTGATTTGAACAGAGAGTTGGCTTGACTCTTAAACTCTTAAGATGYATCATGCTTCAGAATTAGGATTATTACTGATTTTAAGTTACTGGTTTGCATTTTTTTCCAAAATGGAAAGAATCCTTCCAGGGAAAATTCGTACCAAAGGAAAAGAGTGATTTTGTTCTTGAAATGTTTTTTTTTTTTTGTATTGTATAAATGAATAATTTAGTAAAACTAGGGAACTCACAGTATTCCTCTATAACTTTCTTTTCCCTATATTCATCTTCCTTCTATCACTCTCTCTCTCTCTCTCTCTCTCTCTCTCTCTCTATCTATGTCTCTACCTATCATTCTGTCTTCTCTGGATCTATCAATTTTAAATAATTAATGGTCAAAAAATCACCCAGACATAAAGACAAAAATATTTATTTAATATTGTTATGAATTCACTGTGCAATCTCACKACACAGGTTCTGATAGAAGGACTTAAAAATGTTGGGTTTGCATCAAATTATCCCTCTCTGTCCTACGTTTGAAATTCATCAGGCAGGAGATCAGCCACCTGCAATTAGGACAGACTTGGGATATTAATAAAACTTTAGACCAGGGATATCATCTGAAAAATGTAGATGTTTGGAGASCAACAGCCCAGTGTTTCAGCTGTCAGGATCAAGGACACCATCCAAATACTTGGGTTGGAAACCACAGRCTAGTTCATACCCTCTCATTTCAAGAGGATCTGTCAGTTCATTTTGATTCAAATGGCTCAGATGCCTCAGGCCCCGGTACTTGATGTTCTTGACTTGCTGGGCTTGCAGAGGTAAGCAAACTAGAGAGAGGTTGATCACTGCAGACCTCAGAGAGCCTGAGCCTCTCCTCCCAGGTGAACTCTTCTCTGCAAACTAACTTAAAAAAACTCCCAAAGAGAATTAAAAAAAAACCCCAAACCTTTTCAGACTCTCAGAGTACTCTATTTCTTCTCTTACAGAGCGCCAGCTCTTTGGCCTTGTCCCTTTCCAGGGGACAGCCACCCTTCAGAAATGCCCTTCCCTGTAAGACCTCTCCCATCCAGCAGCAYCCCTTTCATCCTGAGCCCATGGGCCACAGAGAGCCATCTAAAGCCCATCAGCAGTAATGCACATTTACTTCTTTACATTTACTTACAGTTAATGTACAGCAGCACATTTAACCCAGAAAGGCAGAGCAAAGGTGTGATCTTAGGCACAGAGGCCACTGCTTTGTCCATCTTTATTTCTTCCTGTCAGTCAGTTTCAAAGCTGAGTAGTTGCAAGTGCTCACTACTKCCCCTAGACCAGGCWGCTCAGAGCCCTGTCCAGCACYGCCTTGAACCCTTCCAGGAATGGGRCATCCACATCTTTYTGGACACCCTGTGCCAGTGCTTCATCACTCCCTCAGTAAAGAATTTCTTGGTAATATCTAATCCAAACCTACCTTATTTCAGTTTAAAGCCATTACTCKTAGTCCTGTCACCACATGCCCTTTCAGAAAGTGCATGTTCATCACATGCCCTCCTCAGCTTTCTTTAGCCTCTTCAGGTATTGGAAGGAACTTGTATCCCCCAAGCTCCAAACTCTTGGAGATGCATCAGAATATCCTGGCTGCTATGGTGTCTCCAACAGGGACTGTAACCTCTGCTTGCCCAAGTGGACATCTCAGAGGTTTTACTGCATCTCAGGTGACACCAGCCATCTTTATGTGAGCATCCAAATCAAGCTCTGAAACATCGACTGGTTATAGTGGCACTGGTCTTAAAAGCAGCCTTGAGTTCATCAGTCTGAGAACTGTCCTCCCCCTGTCCTGCCTCACAAGACCTAAAGCAGACCATTCAATCACCCCCCAATATCATGCATTTCTCCCCATGGTTTACTCAGGGAGCTTGAATTGAGCAGCACAGCATCTGGCACCCAAAGCTGCAGCCCCCCATCATGAGCGGGGTTGACACCCACCTCAAAAATCTCTTCATTGGTGAGATTTCTTTTTTTTTTTGTTTGTTTTTTTTCCCTTAAAATAGATGCATTAGCTGAGARTCATTTAATGGTACAAGAGTACAACAGATTCAGGGAGGAACTGGTCCTCTTGGTATAAGCTCGTGTTTTGACAATACTTCTTCCTTGCACTGTATATCAGCAAAACCACTCCAGAGTCAGATTAACTACCTAACCCGTCCTCTTTCTCTAAGTCTCCTTCATCCCATCATGTAATGTTTTMATTTATATTGTGTCCTACCACATCTGCCCTCCATCCCTCTGGGTCTTTAAATGAAGTTTCCCGGGAGAATTTTATGCCTATGGGTTTTTTTGTGTTTTTTCCCAAGAGATGAAAAAAAGTAGGGTGAGTCCAGACATTCTCTGCAGATGTCAAAGAACAAATTCCAATCTTTCTTTGGGCATGCTAAATTTAGCTGACCCTCACATGAAGGGTGCAAGGTCAGGTGTGTCCTCCCAGGAGTGTCTGATTGCAGAGCAGGCTGAGACCCAGATGCATTCCCCTCAGCCACGTGCATTTTCAACCTTTCCCATTCCTGCCTGGGAAATACACTGCACGACATTTACTCACAGAAAAAACTTAGCATGTGTACGGTGTTTTAAAAGTTTTGAAAACACCCATTTTGAGCAGGGAAGGCAAACCAGAGGAACCAATGGCTCTGCAACTRAGCTGCAATGGCCACTGACAATGGAGCTGCAATTTCTAGGATCTTGTAGCAGGTTCGTTTAAGGTGGAAGGGAGTGTTTTTAATTACCACTCTAAAAAAATGTTCCTTTAAAATGCAGAGGGTCCCTTTTTGTACTTGAATAACTGGGCAAAATTTAAAAGCCATTRTTCAGTTAAAATAGCATTTGGTTATAAATGCAAAGGAATATTTTCTCCTAAGGTAGGTTAAGCAATCATCTGGTTGTCATGKTTTTACATCTCTTAATTTTCACTTCTTTTAAAATTCTTATTATAGAGTCTTCCCACCACAACACTGTATACCTTACCAAAACCTTAATTTCCCTTTGCACAGACAAATATCACAGGTAACATGGGGCTCCTGCACTTCTCCCCCTTCCTTCTCACAGCCATCACCTMTGTCCCTGTGTGTTCCTACCATGTCCTGCTGATGGGATACGCTCAGCCTGTGCCACCGTCATCTCCATGCACAGCTACAGGAGATGGCACTGCAGAAAACCTTCCTAAACATTTGCCCTTTCACTCAGAGTGCATCTCAGAAGAAGACATCTGAGATTTCCCCATGGAAAGGAGTTACCCACTCCACAAATGAACACAGGTATCCAGGAAAGTCATACATGCACCCTAAAAGGGGCGGATTTTATGTAGAATTGATTATAAAGAGCCATATGTAGACAGATGGTAAGCACCAACAGAGCAGCTAAAAAAATACATATCTACAATAAATGTAACCAACTTAATTCCTTGATGCATATATGAGGGATTATTTCTGTTTACAGGGAACTTCACACAGTAGTTTTAAAAAGTCTGTATATTTTCTATAGTTTCATTGAAGAGTCCAGCACCACTTGCTTTCCTACAAGTTTCCAATGCTTGCTTTGAGTGTCATCATGTAGCTCCTTCCACCAGTTAATGATAAATATTTTACTGTTTCCTAGGTTTATTTTGATCATTACTTAGAGTTTACTTCAGTTAACCTCCAACAGACGAATTCTTAGCCCTATCTTCTGCTTTAGCCTTGTGCCTAGAACCCAGATGGATTATCTTTATACCATTTCATAGCAGACAAAATATAACATTTCCCCTAYTTTAAGCCAAAGCTGGACTACCCCTCACATCAGTGTTCCATTATGCATATCAACACTAATTCCTATGCTCCTAATCACTGCTCCTCGTAAAGATAAGATTGGATATCTACTGGAGAAGGGGAAAGGCTGCAGAATTGCCAGTTTGTCTCTGAAGACTTAGACTCTGCATCCAGTTCTCCAGACTTTGGGGTTTATTGCTCTGTTTCAACTGCTTCTTTTGTTGCCAAATTCAGGAAATACTCAGAAGTTTCTTTGCAAGGCACCACTATTTTTACTGTTTTTTCCAACTGTATACTCAATCAAAGAACATTATCATCACRCCATTATTCCTCTCTATAATCTAAATTAAGCAACAGAAAATGGCTCTAAATATACCAGGCTTAGTATCTGTGAGTGTATTTTTTACCTTAACTTTAGCCACTGGAATTTGGGCTTCTTGGAAAAGCAGAAAGGATCAGCAGAACACAAATTCAACAGAGATGGCCATGGTTGGAGGCAGGAATATAAATGTTTTCATTGGATTGTTTACTGCAACAGGTAAGTCTTCTTAAAAGACTTTTAAAAACTCTTCTTAAAACATATGTATTGCATAGATCTGGGTGACTATTCTTTCAAAGGAAGTGAACTCCTTTAATGTCAGGTTAGATTTTACCTAAGTGTGACTTTAAAGGAGTATGGTTTCATGAATCATTTTGGGATGGATTCTTACAAACCTCTTCAGACTGAGCAGAACATAATGTTTATGTAGATTCTTTTAAACTRAAGAAATTAATTTAAAAGTTTAGTTAAGAGTTGAGAGTTTAATTTAAGAGTGAAAAAAGAATGCAACAATTTTCATTAAGGAGGACTGAGGTCTTAATTGTCCACAAGTTTCTATTACCCAACACAAACAGAAGAATTTTACTGATGGAAAAGTCCAGTCCTGTGTGGAATTAATTGTCACTCATGGTGAGTGTTGGTCTCTCTCTTAACGAGCGTCCCTCAACTTTCCTTTTCTCTCCTTGAACCTGGCACAATCTGAAATTTGCTTCCCTGACCTGTTTTTTGTAAAGGCATCCCCCAGTGGCATTTGCCTGGCTCAGACACTTAAGCCATTGTTTGTYGCAGGTTTGTTATCKTACYGCAATGTCTGCTTGTTTTCCCTRTRTTTTCCTRTTTCTGCATTTGTTTTCCCTAAYGTSTATTTTCTTAGACCCTGTAAGTGATGCTTTTGAAAAAGGGCAATTCTACACAAGCAATTCTGGTTCCTCTAGCAAAAGTCTTCCTCTGAGGAAAAAAAAATGTAATTTAAAATAACAATATTCAAATTGCCTCTAAATGTTTAAAGATTGGGCTTTTCCATACACGCACACAAATATCCATTCTTGAAGCTGGAAAAATATTCAGAGTGAGATTCTAATACTGTTACCTGTAGTCAGCAGCACATCTCTGTATTGGAKGAAACTCTGCAAAGAAAATAGAGGTGTGATTAAATCTTTGTGTGAGAAAAATGTTTACAAACTCTCAGAGTGCTCTACAGAATTAGTTGAGAATACATGCCTCAATTCTGACCTTTTCACTTTCCATGTTTACAGCCACCTGGGTTGGAGGAGCATATATCAATGGCACAGCTGAAATCATCTACATGCCTTCAAAAGGACTACTGTGGGTCCAGGCACCTGTGGGATTTGCCTTGTCCCTTGTTATTGGTAAATAATTCATGTAATTAAGACATGTAAGATTTAAAAATATATCATATGAGTATAGTAAGATATGTAACAGAACATAGTGTACACTTTAAATGCAGTTTTGTTTTTTCAGTCTCCCATGTATCCAGAATAAGTATTTATAATGCTGTCCTCTGAACAGAAACATAACAAGTTAGGGTAATTTGGAGCTAGTGTAGAGTTTTGCCTGCTTGTAGCAATTTATAGGACAAAAATCTTATCTAAGAATTTAGAAGAGTGTMGGTATGTGCATATTTCTCTTTTCACATGGTCTCTAATTCACAGACTATTGAGAGTATTGGTATCTAATTTTTAATTTGGAATTTCTGTGTGATGAAACAACAGTATCTTGATTTTTCCACTAAAATGCATTTTCCTGAGTGCTCTCATCTCAGGATGAATGTGTCACACATCCAACTTATCCCACTTAATAGCTGGTCATTTTTGTCGATACTGAGTTAAGTGTGCAGTGTTCTATACCTGAGCTGCCTTTTCTAACCCTGAGAATTACTGGGCTCGTGCTGAGGTTCAGCTCTCTTGCCAAGACCAAAGTTGCTTCCAGGCCACATTGTGTTATACCATAACTCTTCAGGGGCACAGTATGATGAAAGCAAGGAGACCTGTGCAGACCTTACACACAAATTTCTAAAAGAACAATAACCTTTATTCTCAAGTCAAAGAAAAGARTCCAACTGACGTGAATATGAATCAGGCTTGGAAATATATTGCCAGTATTGCTTATGTGAGTAATTCTTACTAATGAAACTGAGGAGTGCAGGTCTGATCCTGCAATCTTTGCTCAGGTCAGTAGTGCCCAGACAAGCAGTCCTGCTGGCTTYAGGGTCAGACACAATAGGTATTCTTTGGTTTTAATGAGACGGCCACACATCTGAAGTCTAATATTCAGATGAAGATGGGTGGGACTCTGCTCAATGTGCAAACAATACAATTCTGGGAAGAGACAATGAGGCCACCAAAATGAAAAATGTAATCAGAAAAGGACCATGTATCAACAGGTTGCATCACATGACCAAGGACACAACTTTGCCTCCCTTTTATCCAAATGTGAGTCTTCAACGCCTCACTCTGCCTACTGACATCTTCCACAGGATGCATTTCAGAAAACTTTGTCTCAGATTGGCAGGTCATTGGGGACGGAGAGCAGATTATATGTGTATGTCCACTGAACTAAGTTCCTGTTACAGTCACACAGGTATTTTATGCCATTTTGGGTGCCATAAGATGTCCTCCCTGGCCTCCAGTAGGCACTCCAGAAAGATGTAGGTGTGCCARAAGTGGATGATCATATATGTCAGTTGTGAGAAGACATCGTTTATAACCTGGGACTTCTCAAATGATAAAATCCCACAATTAGCAAGTGAATTTCAGTGTCTGGTTGGCTGCATCATTCTCTGGTGTCCATTATGTATGAATTCCACTCTCACTGGGTGGGTCTGATACCCAAATACCATACTATTCTCACCTTTTTTTCCCCTAGAATATAAAACATGCAAAATTCTACCAAAATGACCTTAATTTCTGATAGGTGGTATCTTCTTTGTAAATCCAATGAGATCCAAGAATTATGTGACAGTGACGGACCCCCTTCAAGAAACTTATGGGAACATGATGGGAGCTTTACTCTTCATCCCACCACTGCTAGGAGAGGTGTTCTGGTTTGCAGCTATCCTGGCATCCCTGGGTAATTATTTGCTTTCCTGTTATATTTGTTAAAGATCACRAGGCATGACTGTCAAAGTGTAATACACATTTGGGAATTGTTCTGGACTAAGCTGTGGAAAGTTATGCTTCATGTCTCCTTTTGTGAGAGGAACAAGCATTTCTCATTTTTGGAAATAATGTTTCTAGGTTTAAAACAAATGACAGTGCTATATCTTCATTATATTATAACAGAGAAGTCTGGCAATGTGAGTTTGTACCTTCCTCTTGCCTGTGGGACAGCAGATATAAAAAGGCAAAATGCTTTGGCAATGCCATGCAGCAAAGTGTGGCAGTAAGAGCAGGAAGGAAACGTGGGCTCTCTCAAGATTCCACTCTGCACCCTCTCTGCAGACTGCATTTTTCATACAGTATRTTGTACTGGCACCCCAGGAATAACATGTCCTTATTTATTCTCTATTTTGCACATATGAAATATGTCTTAAATACTTGACTGTTGTCCTTGTCTGCAGGAGCAACAATGAGGGTTATCCTGGATGTTGGAGGCTCTTGGGCTATCATCATCTCAGCATGCACTGTCATACTTTACACTCTACTGGGAGGCCTCTACTCTGTTGCCTACACTGATGTCATCCAGATGGTTTTCATCACCCTCAGCCTGGCAAGTCCTGTACATTTCTTTATTACCAGTTTTCTAGCAAAATGGGAAAACCCTGCTCTGCTTTTCAGCATGTCTCAGACCCAAGAATAACTTCCTTGACCTATAGGTCCTCTTGAGGAGAACAGGTTTCCTGAAAAATCTTACAATCTTTATAAGTCTTTGTGCCTTATGCATTTCAAACAGTGCTCACACRAGCCATTGGCCTTGCTGGGTGAACACAGAAAGGTCTGCCCAAAAGTGAAGTTTGCAGAAYTTGTCCAGAAACATCTTGAATGGAGAGTCTGTCTACAGAAAGGACCAATTGACCKGAATTACAGACTCATGTTCTTGATGATTCCATGAACCAAAACGTGTAGATTTAGTGTAAGGAAGGGAGAGAAAGGAAAATTCTAAGTCTGGGTTTAATCATATGTAACTCTCCATTCTACATCTACCTTAATTTAAATATCTGTTCTCCAAGAACATGGACACTGGGAAAATGGTTAACTATTTCCATTTCTACCCTAGTGGATCTGTATCCCCTTYGCCCTGGTGAACTCTGCAACAGAAAGTATTTATTATACAGCAACCCATCAATCTTACCAAGACCCCTGGATTGGGAAGATAGAAAAACAGTATCTTGGAAGGTGGCTGGATGACTTCTTCTACTTGGTAYGGAGTATTTCTGGACAAATGGTTGGGAGTAGGCATTGTAAAGGGACTTCAGTCTGGAAAGTTTGTGGGTTCTTTCAGCCAGCAGCCCTGCATCACAAGGCCAGCTGACAGARCTGGATGATGTGTAAAACCTTCTCTCAGCCCCCTGCAGCACRCTAAACAGACTGAGGAGATCCAGACTCAGCTGTGGGATGAAAAGAAGTAGTAGGGACATTGCATCCTTTACCCACACAGAGGAACACACCTCTTGAGTAAGACCATCCAGGCAGCCAGTTCCTCTCCTGGCACATAAATGAGTAGTTTCCTACCTTTTGAGACACTGGTCTTCGGGCCTTAATAGTGTGCTTTTAACATAAATATATAAAATTTCCTCTATTTGAAAAAAAAAAATAACATTACTGCAGGTCATCAGCAAGCACAGTGTCATTGGCTCCACAGCACAACACAACTTTTGGGTTACCAGTACAGCCAAGACTACAGGAGGTTGTTCTGTTCTTACTAAACTGATARTGATACACAGAAGCTTATTTGGTGAGGACAGGATCTTCAGATTTTATCTGATTAATTTTGTGTGCTAAGAAAGTGAAAATTATGCTTTTATTTTTCATTTTAAATGCAAAAGAGCTATTTTGGGTAGATTTATTTACAAAAGTCACACTCCTGAAAAGCTTTCATTTCCCTTCTTCTGTGCCTCATTCACCATTCCAAGCAACCATTTTTCAGTTTTCTCCATCTGCCAAACCATTAACCTGTTTTCATTAAAACTTCACATCCATCACAATGAAAACAAAGGAAAAGGGAATTAATTCTCAACTATCAGAAATATCAACCTCCAGAGTTACAGCTGGGCACCATTTATGCATTTGAAATGATAATTCGATAACACAAAAGATTATTATGGATGATGCCCTACAGCAGCCAGCAGCCTGGAGGGTACCACTGGTAACTTAAGAATGTTTCAGGTGCTTGGGAGCATCCCGTGGCAGACTTACTTCCAAAGGGTGCTCTCTGCTGCCTCGACAGGACAGGCAAGGCTCATCTCCTACCTCTCTGGACTCGGGTGCTTTGCAATGGCCATCCCCTCGGTGCTCATCGGCGCAGTCGCAGCATCAACAGGTAAATCAAATCGTTTCTCTCTGAGTAATCAATGTGGTTTCAGCAAAAGTCATTAAAATGGGATCCAAAGGAGTCCTGATATAGATCTCAAATTACTCAGTCCTGTGCCCCTTGACACCGAGATAGGTGATCTGTACCAGAGGTACAGTGCACATCTACTTAAAGGCATTTACATAGACCTATTAAAAGCTATTTTCTTGTGATGAAATGAATTTTCCTGGACCTTGTGTTGAGGAAAGATGAAGGCAGACTCTGTAAAACCCTGTACAATCCTATTYTAGAAGAAATTTTATGGTGCCTTCTGTTAATGCCTTAGACATGTAAGACCCAGCAACGTTATGACAGATTGTTAATAAGGTTCTCACTTGAAGGAATCAAAAAGTTCAGCCCTGTAAACGCCACTTCTGTAAAMTGATCACAGCCTCCACGCAGGGGATCAGTCCTGTGTTGTCTGGGAGCAAGGGTTAAAGTAGATCATTGAACATTTAAGCAAACCAGTTGAAGTCATGAGTTCATCCATCATGAGGGATATCAGAGCAAAACTCCCTTCTTCTCATGAGCAGTGTCTAGAGGTTGACCTTTAGCTTTAGTCCCAGTTGTGGAAACACACAGTGCACAGCTATTTCTACAGATGCTGCTGAGGAAAAGGGAAATCTTTGATCTAGTGGGAGCTGCAGCATGCTAAAGGGAATCACAAAAGTTCACAAAAGAACCCAAAAAATCAATCYAAGTCCTAGAACACTGAGTGGATGTCAGTTCTTAGCCCTTCTGTGACTCGCCCCTGTGAAAATGCAACTTCAACCACAGCAGAAATGTCCGCAAAGAATTTGTTGTGAATTTTCCTTGTTTTGTTTTAAAGACTGGAATCAGACAAGCTATGGYCTTCCAAGTCCATTTGAGAGAGGGGAATCAGGGATGATACTACCRCTTGTTTTACACCATCTCTGCCCAGCATACATCTCCATAGCTGGTTTGGGAGCCATCGCTGCTGCTGCAATGTCTTCTGCAGATTCAGCTCTCCTCTCCGCTGGCTCCATGTTCGCTCACAATATCTACAGGAAAATCCTGAGGAAAAAGGTACCTGGTTGCAGCATTCAGCAGTTTTGGTGTGAGGAAAGACAGTCTTGTTTCAAGGCCATTTCTAAACCAGTCTGTGATTGAAGGTATGTGTCCTTCAGCTGCAGAACTGATTTCTKGAGATAGAGCTCCAAATATAAGCCAGGGTGTTCATAATCTTGGTACGGGAACCAATACCCATACTGGCGAGCCTTGCYCATTCTAACATAACTGTTATAAAATTTGGACTAAGATATTAATGGAAACAGCATAAAACCATGACCATTAAAATCAGAGGGCACCTCCAGGGGTGCCTGCCTTGCCTGGCTGCTGGTGGCACATAGTGCCTGAAAGCATCAAGGGCTTGGCAAGAACCAGTGCAGGCCAGGGCAGTGCTGGCCATCCTGCCAGAAAATGCTGGGTCTGTAATGCTGCAATCTCTGCTTTACAGGCTTCAGAGACAGAGGTGCTGTGGGCCATGAGGACCTCCATGTTGGTGTTTGGGGCTGGGGCTGCTGCTCTGGCTTTTTACTCCAGCTCTGTGTACGACCTCTGGTTCCTCAGCGGGGAGCTGGTGTACGCCCTCCTCTTCCCCCAGCTCTGCTGTGCTCTCTTTGCTCCCAGCACAAACACCTATGGATCAGCGGCTGGCTTCTTGGTTGGGCTCCTGCTGAGGCTCCTGGCAGGGGAGCCTACCCTCAGCATCCCCCCCATCATCTGCTACCCACCCTGCTCCCTGGAGAGYGGCACCTACAGCCAGCTCTTCCCCTTTAAAACATTCACTATGCTTCTCACCTTGGGCACAATCCTTGCTGTTTCACACCTGGCCAAGRCTTTGTTTCAGAGAAACCTCCTCCCTCACAGCTGGGATGTTTGCAGTACCACGGGGGGAACTGGCATCCTCATCCCCTTGCAGCAGGCAGAGAAACAGGAGCATTTGCCAGCCACTGCACTAGAAGAGAAGAACGATTAAATGTGGGGCTTCCTTTGAAAAGCCACAGTGCATTCAGCAGTTTGAGTATGGCACAAACAGCATTGCTCTATCCTTTGCTTTCTCCACTAATGATTTGTTTAAAGTCCTCACAGAGAAATAAAGAAGCATTCTGTTCATCCAAGGAGAATGTATGAGTTTGAAGTCAGCAGTGATCAAAGTCACATGGTGATGGAGCACAATCTTGTGGCAGTGAGCACAGGACACCTCAGGCCCCAGCAGYGCTTCGAGGTGCCCCTGGTATTTCACCAGAAAGCAAAACCATACATCCTGCTTCAACACTTAGGGTGTTCCCAAGTCACATACTTTCCTCACCACAAATGAGACAAATTAATGTTTGTTAGATTGGNAAAAAAAAAAAAAAAAAAAAAAAAAAAGGTGAGTAGACCTGTTTCCATTACACAGTGAGGGTTTTAGCATAATCATAATCATCCCCGGGAGCACATTGAACCTCTGAAAACACAAATTACTGAAAGCAGTGCAACCGCCACGGCAGTCCATCAGTAAATATCAGTTCTGCACCATTCCTTGTAAGCTTTGCAAACCTTTTCTTTGTACTGCAAAATCTTTGCCCATCTSTCCCCACTGCAGTATCAATCAGTGGATCTCACAGCCTGAGAATGTGTAAGACATCCTTTCTTATACGAMCTGTTAGGGCAGAAGCAGATGAGGAAGATGAAGTAGCAGCCCTTCATTGTTYAATAAGAAAGTTTTACGTAGCCACTATTTACAAAAACTCAGSCAGACATAAAAACAGAGGTGCCAGAGATACGATTGAATTAATTTTGTCTAAAATACCTGTAAATCATTTGTGTCAAGGTTTTACCCCAGTACAGTGATAGGATGTTATGTTAGACACACAAACTGTTGTTTGAGAAGTCAGAGGACTGTGATGACAGAAAGGTGATTGAAACTGATCCTAAACTTTCCTGCAGGGACACAAAATCCTTGAAGACAAGATCCCAAAAGATTCATTCCACAGATGAGTACAGAAAAGCTCCCAGTACCTTGTTTGCATAAATTTTTAATGGCTTGGAAGACAAGGAACCCAGCTAAATAGTGAGTTTGGACTCTAGCCTGAAGTCTGATGGACTGATAATGTGCCCCAGTGAGATGGATCATTAAGATGTGAGCTGAATTAAAGATTCAGGAGGATTCTGTAGTAATGGCTCACAGATTGCTGTCATTTTAAACTTCCCTCAGCAGCTGTGCAGTGTTTTACCAGGGTCAGTTGCAATCCRCCCACAGCAGCCAGCAGGAACCACACTCACCTTCCAAAGTGGTTGTGGGAGCTGCTGTSAGTGGAAACACCTGGCACTGATGGAAGGAAGATGTTTACCGGCATAATCAAAATACCCATAGCAGAGGAACCCTCACAGCCAGGTGAGCTGCTGAGGTGAAAACAAGATGCTGCTTTGTGATTTACTTTCAGGATGTGCACGCACAAGGTGAGAAACTCTGCTGGTGCCACCATGCACAGCTGCAGCAAGCTCAGCAAGGAGCCATGGGACATTCAGAACAGTACCACGGAAAGTGTCGCAGCTTGGGAGGAGGACAGTCAGCCCTGCGCTCTAGATATGGCTCTGATGACTGCTGCCAGTGGGGATCATTCACCTCTTTTTAAATATCCATCTTCAGCAAGGTGGAGAATCTGCTCCTCATCAGAAAAATAYCACATAACCTTATGTTTAGCACTAGTGTTAGTGAGCACTTGGGCACATCAACCTTCCTGTGCACATCAGTTCCTGTTGATACACTTGGTTAAACCAAGACCAGAGATTCTCTCCTGTGCCTCTAGAGACTGCCATGAAATATTAATTATAATGTGTCTAGAAAAGGGGAGAAAACTGATTTAAAAATCAAAAGCATTGCATTGATTGTGGCCCTAGGTGGTCACCCACTGGATTCTTTGACACGGCWGGTATGTGAGTGGGAGTGTGTGAGGTTGTGTTTAGCCAAGGGAGGCACCAAAGCTGTCATTACCAAGAGAACAGGGCTCTCGTAAATCACAGCTGCTCTATGCTGATTCAAGCATACTCCCCTGAGAGATTCAGGGGTGACCTAGTTTGGGGACCTGTCCATCCCRCTGTGTGGAGCACACCAAAGCTAACATGCTTCAGTAGAACCAGTGCACAAATCTGCTGCATGGTCCAGATGAGACAGAAACCCTGATGTCCTTGTGCCAAGGTCATCATCCTGCTTCCTGCCCATAGAATCACAGAATGTTAAGGGCTTGGAAGGGACCTTAAAGATCACCTAGTTTCAATCCTCCTGCCATGGGCAGGAACACCACTCACTTGGTCAGTTTGATCAGGGCCCCATTCAACCTGGCCTTGAACGCTTCCAGGCACTTGAACACTTCCACCCACAACTTCTCTGGGCAACTTGTTCCTGTGCCTCACCAACCTTTGAGTAAAGAATTTATTATCTGATCTAAAAATACTCTCTTTCATTCAAAAAATATTGCCCCTTGCTCTATCACTTGTCTGCTCATATAAAATGTCCCCTTTCCTTCTYTTCATAAGCCCCCTTAAGGGCACCAGAAGGCCRCAATGAGGTCTCCCTGGAGTTTTCTCCAGGCTGAACAACTCCAAATCTCTCAGACTGTCTCCAAAGGAGAGGTGGTCCATTCCTCTGATCATCTTTGTGGCCTCCTCTGGACCGACTCAGCATATCTTTCCTGTGTTGGGGCCCCAGAGCTGGATGCAGCATCGCAGGTGCTCATCAGAGCAGAGCAGAGGGRCAGAAGTTTCTCCCTCACCCTGCTGGCCACASTGCTTAGGATGCAGCACAGGATCCATCCCACACAGCAGCTCTGACAGGCAAATGCCTGTATCTGGAGATGCCTTTTCGATATGCTGTTGTGCTCAAGTTCTCCTGCTTTCACCCTGCAGAGACCCAAAGTTGGACRTTCAAGCCTTTCTGTGCTAATGGGCTTGGCGTGGCAGGCAATAGATCCACAGCTTCCTGAGAGAGCAGCAAAGGACACTGCCAAAAGTGTCACCATCACCACTATGTCACCACCCAGCATCACCATAGAAACTCACAGACTTCAAACAGGAGAGTCTCCATGCTGTCAGGGATATCTGGCATGCTCAGCCATACCTGGCCCTTCCAAAACTTCCCTAAATTTCATACCACTGAAAAGGCTCTGCTTTGTGTGAAGAGAGGAAAATGGWGAAGATACAATTACTGTAACTCTGCTGAATGTTTACGGTTTTCCATCCTTATATGACTCTCCTCAGAACATCCCCAGCAAGCTTAAAAAGAAAACATTCATCAAGGTCGAACAAAGTTTTGAAAGCAATTAGCTGCAAGTAAAATAAATATAAAAGTAATYCTGTCCTATTTTTAATGCTGAAATGCCTCGTTGTTCCAGTCCAGCAGAGCTAAGGTCCTTGAGGTTTGCTAGCATGGGGGATAATGACCCARCTCCCACAAAGACATTCTGTTCATGGGTTACAGTATTCCCTTATTTTTCTTTCCCTCCTTTATAAAAAAAAAATCATTTGTGCACTGGAGGGCCCCAGTTTATCTCTCCAATGTGGATTTACCTCCTTTGACCCTYAGAAGTGTCCACGCCAATAACTCCATAGGGTTTCAGTTTCCATTAACTTTTCTCAGCTTAGACARCTGCTACTTAAAGCAGCAAACACCAGCATCCAGGCAGCACTCTATTGCTGCCTGAGCCAGCAGGATCCATTGAGATACCCTGAGGCTCCCACTGTCTTTTCTTTGACATTTTTATAGTTCATCTGCAGAACATCTGAAATGGTATTAGAGAGAGAAATTCARTTAAGAAAGAAGAACAATACAAAAYCAATGCCATGTACATTWGGTAGATTAACAACYGGCTAACTGACAGGTTTGAAAAGCAATTGCATGCAGGAAACTATCATCCAGAATGAGAACCTCTAGTGAGGTTGATTCTTGGCATTATGCTAAGGAACTGCCCTTACAGTGACTGGGTGGGCAGTGAGGAGCAGTCCACATTGTGTGCTCTGCTGGTCCAATGAGCTGCAGGTCAGKGTGGGCTCATGGAAAACCCAATGTAGGTGTCTACTGACAGATCAAGTGCATCACAGTCCAAAACTAACTGTTGGATGTGTTGTCCTCAATGCTACGCTAAGCAATGTCAAGATTTAGGTGAGATCAATTTTACCCAGAGCATGCTCCTGCTGYTTTGTCTCTTATTTCTCCCACAAGCAGGGTTTATGACAACATCCAGTATCTGTTAAAACTAGACAAATTAAGACTACAAATGAAGCTAAGCATTTTAAATGTAAAGTCCATTAAATAGAGCAAGTTGGCAGGGACTGAGGCGGTTCATCATCACTGAAAATGCTGTRGTGAAACTGGAAGCTATTCTGAAAGTTATCCTCTGTTTTAAAAGGAATCCATTCAGTGCAGCCCTAGGATMTCTGACGTCCAACCCAGAGTTCAGACTGACAAATCCCCGTGACGCTGTTTGTCCCTTACTTCYCCCACCCCTGCTGGAGATGAGCAACCAGGTACCACTGAGGTAACCACTGCCACTTCTACCTTAATGCTGACATTGCTCAGAGCCCTGCCTGCCACCCTTGAACTTCAACAATGAGAAGTCAAGACCAAAGTGTGGCTTGGAYTTCTGAACCAAAAGTGGATCCTCTCTGTATACTGGACCTCAAGYTGTCTGTTCAAAGATGAGGGAAGGCCTTCTTCTCTCAGTGATGGTGCTGCATGACCTCCTCCAGCAGCCACCTACTCATCTTGCACTGAATAATCAATGAAGTTTCCATCTCTGGTGGGCTGGCAGCAGCTCCTAAGTCCTCCACACACATAGGCTGGGGTGGGGCATGAGGCCAAGGTATAGCTGGTGCTGTGATATCTGTGGTGCTCCAGGGGAAATCACCCACGGAGCCTGTGCAAGGGTCTGAACTGTGACTGCCCTGAGTTACCCATACTTGTTTCCACGGGAGACACCATAATTACACCACCATTGCTCAATCACAGCCATTATCTGAAAGGCCACATGCCTGACATGCTTCAGCAGTCGTTCTGCAGGGCTGGATGGGCTCGATTCAATCTGCTTCAGTGCTCTGTATTCCCAGCTGCCTTGCAGGTGCTGTGTCCAGATATGGGAACTGGCACAAAGGAGGCTGTCTGCAGCGAGGAGCATCAATTAATGCTCTCTCCCTCTAGAGAGACCCTGTGGCAGCCCCTGCTTGGTGCTTCAGCAACCCAGAGAGAGCCTCATCAGTGATAGGAAAAAGAGTTCTAGTTTTGACAGCTTAGACCACATGAGGGCACAGCTGTGCTGACAGGACAGGTCAAAGTAAATGCCCTGCCCCAAATTTGGGCCAAATGAATTGGAGAGGTTCAGGTGATCCACATAAAAAGTGCAGTTGAGAATAAAGTGTGARTATTTAAATCACCCGTTTCAACTAGACCAGCTTAATCATTCTCAATTATTACTTTGTTTAATTATTATGTCAAATTTTACTTACATTGGCACCCAATCTGTACATATCAGTACTCCTGCAACTTTGTACAGTGACCAAATCAGAGATGGTAAACAGGCTTGAGTACCTGGGGCATCCCAAGACTTGAGATGAAAAAAGCTTGTGTTATTTTAGTAATGGAGAGCTAACAGACCAGAACTGCCCACAGTCTTTCYTCTTACAGCTATTGATTGATTTGAGGTGAGGACAGAGCTTTTTGTACTGTGCCTCTGCTGGAAAAAAAAAATGACACAAAGAAACGACTGACATACAAAGTGCAGATTTAGCCAGGTTCACTTCAAATGCTGAATTTATTTTTTCTTCTTATACAAATGGAAGGAATGTTTTTACACAACAAATGTTCTTCTCACTTCCAGAAGACTGCAATAAGCTAAGCCTRGATGACCAACCTCATGTAAAAGAGGAGGGGCCAGCAGGATGCCATTTTTCAACTACTCCTGTGCCAGGTACACATTTCTGTTACTGGTTTGGAAGCCTGCAGCTCTCTCCTGCTCTCTGCCAGCTGTTTCCAGCTCACTGCACCATCAACCAAAATCATCCCAAGGCAATGGTGAGCAGGATCTGCAGCCCTCTGACCAGGTGGATGCAATGCCCTGCAGTCCCTGTCAACATTTCTTTGCTGAGTTTTCTCCTATTATTTCTTGCAGGATGAAATTACCTCTAAAGAGTTATCTCAGGTGTGTAATCTCTTTGAATATTTAACTCTGGTSGTTTTTTATCTTTTCTTCTGCAAAAGACAAGGTCAAATCCAAAAAAGGTATCAAAGCAAAAAAGTGAGGAAAAAAAGCAAACCTTCTGCATAAAGCACTTCCATGTACTCATGCAGCAYATTAGAGAGCAAAAGGAGCTCTCTGGCTCCTATCTGGCTGTTGTTGCAATTGTTAATGTGGTTTTATTCCATTATTAATGGCACCAGAAAGAGAAGTCAGGCCCTCCAGACAAACTTGAGAGACTGTTGTCTCACATCTTGCAATGAAAAGAAAGGGAAAAAACCCCACCTAAAATAATGGAAATAAGCAAAGGGAAGGGGAAGGAAAACATAAAATACTGAGCAYATAGCAAAATCTGCTGATGCCTATAGAAGGATAGGGATGGCAAACCAAATCTTTTTCAGATCTTGTAAGTCATTCCCAGAGGCTGGTTTTAAGGCCACTTTGTAGTTAAACAAAGCAAACCTAATTTTCTGACAGTGTGTGTTATATTGCTTGATATGTTTATGATTCCTAGAACTGCTGTTTGACAAGCAGAGAAAAATAAAACCAGAAGAGCAGCATTAATGGATGAAAAACCTACAACCTAGAGTGGCATATCATTAGCCTCATCTGAATGTGGCTAGACAGGATTTTGATAAAAAAMTTCATTAGGAAAATACAGCATGAATAAGCCAAGGTAAGTAAAATTGGGAATAACACTCTGATCTGGCTTTTCTGAAAAGTTACCCTGAGTTAGCTACCAAATCCTTGCAGAAGGCAGGATTCCAGACAGGGTGCATATCTTCACTCACACCCGGCAGAAACAGCTCCCCTGCTGAAGCTYTGCACTGATGCCCAAGCACCAAAGCTCACAATCCACACATCAGCTTGTCCACAGCATTTTGTTCAAACTCCAGCCCAACAGCAGGAGATAYCTGCTGAAGCTTATGCCCCACTGCCTTTGGGTTGCTGGGAGGCAGGCAGGTGCCAGGGGGACTCAGAGGGGTCAAGCATCAAGGTTTAATTCAGTTAGATTGGTTTCTAATCAATGACACAACTATCATCCCTACAAAAGGAAATTACCTCAGGTTATGCCAGAGGCTATTACTGAAAACTGCTTCTCTGCAAGGCTTGTCAAGCACTTGAACAGGCTGCCCAGGGAGTAGAGTCACCATCCTGGAAGAATTTAAAAGATGTGTAGATGTGGTGCTTATGAACACGGTTTAGTGGTGGACTTGGCATGCTGGGTTAATGGTTGGCTTGATGATCTCTTCCAACCAAAATGATTCTATGATTCCTTAAAGCCCAGAGATTCTGTAGTYGCTTGTGGATAGGGCTGTACCCCATGGCCCTCAACACCTGCCCCTACAGTACAGCTCCCTGTGGCCACACTCCTCCAGGCCTTGTCAGTGGGCCCCCACCCTATCCAGCACTCACTCATCACTGCTGTTTCACATCTTCTGCTTAAGAGAAACCTCCTTCCTTGCAGAAGAGATGTTTGCAGCACAGAGGSAGGAAGCATTGCTTCCAGTGGGCTCTCAGGGAGAGAGGAACCAGCCAGCTTTCAAACAAATATGGTTTATAGTAGCTCGATTAAATGCTTTCTTCATGCTGGGCATTTTGTGACATGTATTGAGGTGCAGGTTATATTTAAAAAACCCCAACCCCTAGATATTTTATAGTTTTCYTCTTAAAAAAAAGAATTCAAAAGTTCTTTGCTGTTAATTACTGATGCTGAACACAAACACAGGACTCCTTTTGGTCACAGGACTGAACGTTTGACCTATGGCAGCCAAAACTGCCAAAATTTGAGAGGAGCTCCAAGCCTGGGTTTCCATTTCTTTACTAACATCTGTCTTTCCAAGTGAGTGCATTTACTCAATGCAACCAGTATGCTACATTTAAAATATGCAAGATTCAATTCATTTTATATGARGATATAGCTCATATGTTGTGCTGCCAAAATAGGTCACTGGGCCAAGAGCTCAAAAATAGCTTAAATAAAGGATGAAAGAAATAAAAAAGGAAAATGACATCATGTCATGTCACCATGAGAACTTTTTTAATGCTTTGAGGAATAAAAATACCATGAAACAACAGGATCAGGAAGCAACTTTGTCAGTGGGAATCTCCCAAGGGAAGGACTGCACACTTTTTCTTGTAATTACATTTTCAGCAGGGACACCCAGGCACAGTGTTGGCCGGATGTAGCAGAGGGGATTTGGCAAAGCACAGGAGCAGCTCAAACAGACGAGATGKAAGGGAAGCACTTCATGTCCTGCCTCTGCAGATCGAGTGCAAACACACTTTCAGGCAACCCCAGCACCATGACAGGCTGCAAAACCCACGTGGATAAAACGTTTGGGCAGTACATCCTCACTGACCTCTCCCTGCCCCTTCACCTGAGTGCCAAGAGATGCACCCCAACCCCTGTGGGACTCACCTGTGCTCCTCACACACAGCCAGYACATAAGGAAACCCGCACCATTCCATACAGTGCAGTGTGGGAGTGGCTGCTCAGTGCAGGCTCTCTAGCAGATCCTAGCTGTCCCTGTCACCTGGGTGATTGCCCTTTCCTCCCACCCACCCTGAGGAGTTTGTGCTGAGCAGCACGCTGAAGTGTCTCTCTTTAATCCACACACTGCTAAAGAAAACTTAAGGAGAGAGAAACACAAGAAAGAGAATGGAAACTCTGCAAAAGGGCTGATCGGGCATGTAACTCTTTTTCCTGCTCAGAGGGGCAGCTCTCTTGGGGTTTATATGGCGTCTGGTAGCYATCTCCAGCGATGTCTCTGAGCAAGGATGAACTTTCAGGATTGGGATACTCATGTTCTCTAATATTTCCCACTATCTCACACTGTCCCGTGCTTTCTGAAAGAATGAGAAGCATTTCTGGGGACCTCCTCTGGATGACGATAGAAGGGAAAGAGGAGCACCTGGTGCATGTGCTGGCTACATTGGGATGGTGACACAGAGATGCTGCTGTCCAGCTCCCCCTTCTCTTCCCGCACATACACACACCCCCATCCAGTCTCACCTGCAGCATCACCGGACTTCTCGGAGCAAAAAAGTCTTAATAACCGGAAGGGAAATTTCCCTTGCGGATTCCAAATCCCTCCTAAACCCAGTCTCCTCGGTCGAGTGTTCGGACGCCGGGCTCGGCTCCCGGCTCCAGGCTCCGGCCGGGCAGGGCTGCACGGCCCCGCGGCCGCCCATCGCGCTCATTTCCCGGCTGGGCGATGGCCGGCGGCCGGGCAGCGCCTTCCCTTCCTCAGCCAATTGCATCTCCAGCCCGGATCGGAGGATCGCGGGGTGTGAGGCGGGGGAGCGCCCGGGGGCCGGTGCGGGGGGAGCCGGGAGCAGCCCCGGCRGGAGCTGCAGGAGGAGGAGGAGGAGGGAGGGAAGCGAGGGAGAGGCCTGGGGCTGGCAGCCCCCGGGGTCGGGCCTCGCCGGCCGGCCCAGCCACTTAAATGCRAGCCCTGGGGCATCGGCTTCCCGCTGATGAGACCGCTGCGGGGCTGTCGAGGCCGGGGAGTTGTCGTGGGGACCGTCACCCTCTGCCTGGCCGCCGGCTGGGCTCTGCAGAGTAAGTGTCCGACTCCGTCCGTCTCCCTGCTCSCTCCYCCGGCCCTTTCCTCCCGCTCCTCGCCGCGRTGCCCCGGTTCAGCCCCAGCGCCCGGCACCTGAGGGGCGGTGCGGAGCGCCCGCCGACCCCCGCCCGCGGCCAGCGCTCTGCCCAGCCCGTCCGCAGCCGGGACGCCCGGGAGCGGTGGGGAGGGGAGARGGACGGGACGTACCGAGAATCAGGCAGGCATCGCTGCTCTCTAAAATCTGGGCACGGTCTGCGGAGGCTCGTCCCCGCTCCTGCTGCGCGGAGGGAGCRGGGGAGCCGAGCGGGACCAGCGCGGGGAGCGCCCCACGCCCGCTCCCGGCGGGGACGGCCCCAGCAGCCGCCGCTCCCCCGCTGCTTCTCCAGCGACCGAGGGCCAAGGCGTGGAGAGGGAGACGAGCTCGGGTCAGCGCGGCGGTGAAGTGGGAAGGTGGGTTCCAAGCCAGCACCCCACGGGGCATGAGCGGGGACAGGGCAACACGCAGAGAGCCGTTCGCTCCTCTCCCAGAGGGGGCTGAAGGGGCTGCTGCCAACCCCACCCTCACCTGGGGACTGGGGTGTCAGTGCCACCAGTGAGTTTGGTTTGGTCACTGCTCTCCACCATCAAAACTGACATACAAGCAGGACACCAAAGGGTGGAAAACCAGTCCCCAGGGTTTCAGTGACCCGTTTTAAGGCTGTTCCCCCAGTTTAGACCTCCAGTGTGAAGGCCCCTCGTTGCCAGCCTTTTTTTTTCCCCACTCATTGCCCAGCACACTGCAGGTCCAGCTGCGTTGCCATGGCTCGGTCTGGTACACAGAGCCGCACTTCCCATTCTGACTTTTGGCCAGGCAAATACTTTGGAGTAGGACAGCGTGCCAGGACAGCAAACTCAGTGTGCTCTGGGCAGCCCCGGTACCCTCTTCTCCTGGGTGTGAAGGGRTTGGTTTTGCAAGCAGCAGAGCGCCGTGGCCTTGCGTGGGGTGCCGCAGTTGGGTGTGCTATTTGCTCTCCAACCTGGGGCAGCTCTTTGGATCAGACCGGTTCAGGTGATCCAGGCACACTGCCTACTGAAAATATTTTTGAACGGTCAGATATTGCACTGCCTTTTTTAGCTTTGCATGCCAGATAGGGACAAAACAATGTTTGCAAATCATTCAATGGAAATGTTTTGATTTTTTTTTTCACATTTACTTTGTAACCACATATCCAAAACAAAGCCTCTATAAAAACATAAAAGGTTCACTGAGGGGAGACACTCARCTCCTGTCCAGTCAGAAACAGTGGGAAAGGCCTTTAAATAAACACATGGAGCAGAAAACAATTGGAACAATTTGCAGGGATTACCAGAGGTTCTCGGTTGTTCTGTTACAGTAGCTGGCACAAACCCTGTTCTCACAGCTCTGGTTAGTCTCCCCTGCACACAGGCTGAACAGTAGACCACAGCTCAGTGGATGATGCACTGAGCTGCCTGGAAAGCATCATGGTCCTGCAGGGGTACTGGGCAGCATCACAATGCTCATGAAGGGGGAAGCCCAGGAGTTTTATCTGGGAAAAAGCCTAGATCTTATTCGGTCCCATAGGTGAGGGCTTAGGAATTGAACTGGCTTCTTGAGCTCTCCTACCTTACCCTGACCAGCAGAGTTAGTCAATCCTGCTACAGATTCCAAATACAACTAAATCAGGTTGTCATTCRCCCATCTCTTCCATTTGTGGTGGCTATGGAGTTTTGGCCATGGAGGCTTCTTATTYTAAKWTTTTTTTTWAATTAATTTCTTTGCCTTGGAGACCTTTTATCCTTTGCCTTTCTTAATCATTCTTATCCCTCAAGACTCTGCAGAACCTCCAGGATCATCCCCGGGTTTCTTTGCACTTGTGTGGTGTAGCTGAGGGTCTCATTCTTACTCCCCCACAGGCATTTGCACCTCAGCATTACTGTTTTCGTTCTGCTCATGCAGTCAGGCTGTTTCCACAGTAAAGGACTAGAGCAGGTGAGCTGCTCCAAGCCAAAACGGGAAGAGGCATTCAGCCTTACTTACTCTGTGCTTTATCTGCCTTATGTCATAGGTAGATAGCAGGATTTCAGTCTTTAGCCAAGGGTCTTAAACAAGCCACTAATAAAAACAAAAAATGTATGCCAGTTTAAGACTCATGTTTGTGAGCTGGTGTTCGTGTTCATCCAACTCTTCATGCAGAAACACCCACATGCAAGCAGAAATTACTGCAGGTTACACATTAAACTAAGCCGTCAGCTCAGTTTTACAGTGTCATGAACAGCTCTGTAATCACATCAAGAGGAAGTTGGTGAGAATTAAATATTCTTTTATATGCATTTTTGTCCAGATATCATCAGGAACATGAAGTCCCTGGCTTCTCATGAAACTGCAAACCTTTGGTTACATGTGATTTATCTGCACTGGCTTATAACTGGCTGCCTTTAGGAAACTGCTGTCTCCAGTGTTGTTTACATATCCTGAAAACAGAACAAAGTTCTTGCCAAGACTTTAGATACTTATCCCTATTACACTTCTTGCTTTGGGGGGACAGTAGTTAATTAGTATGATAGGTTTCCTTGGACATGGAGATTAAAGTTTCCATTAAAATGCAGGACTTTTAAAGAAAGACAGTTACTGATGAACACAAGAATATTGCTCAGTTTTCAGAAAACGTTACATTTACTCAAAAAGACCCTTGCAAAACCCCTTTCTGTTTGGGTATTAAAACATCTAAACAATGTTTCAATCACATGCAATTATGGATCCTCTATGGTGGAAGCATTTTTGCTCTCACCTATTAAAAATGTGTATTTAGTCTTCAAGTATGTACATTACTTTTACAGAGAGCAGAAAGAAAAAGATACTGCCAAGCATAATCTATCCACTCTTAAAACAGGCCACTGAGATAGGGARGATGAATCAACAAGACCCAGAGGTCCCAACCTGCCCTGAACAAYTGGTGCAGCATCACCTCCAGACTCATCACCTTCCTTTGTCTTTCAGCTCCTGGAGGAGTATCCTTGGTTGTCCCACAACCCAACATCAATGCGACAGTGGCACAGAACATCCTCCTCTCTGTTGAATACTCTTGCCGAGGCGTGGCCACCGTTGAGTGGAAGCATGTGTCAAGCTGGGGCACCACTAGCATTGTTGAGTGGAGAAGTGGGAATTACGCCAACATATCCACAGTCTACAAGGACAGAGTGACTACGTTTGAAAATGGCTCTATACAGCTTCGGAATGTGGGCATGAGAGAYGCCGGCTACTATTTTGTCACTGTAACAGAGGAGCATGGAACCAATGCCTACGGCACCATCATAGTCAATGTTTACGGTACAGACTAGATGGGACCTCTTGTTTAAACATCAATCTGCTTGTAGTCAATTTAATAATACTATTTTTTTCCTTGTTCCCTACAGAGATTATCTATGAAGATTTGCATTTTGTAGCAGTTYTCTTTGCATTTCTTGCTGCAGTATCTGCCATTCTAATCTGCTTCATGTGGYTGTGTAATAAATCTCTGCATCTATTTCAGAAGAAGACAACACACAAACTAACAGGTATCTCTCTAAAAACGCAGTCAAGGTGTAGGATTTTCAAGCCTGAAATTTGATCCTAGAATTTGTACCCTAAAGGTGTTAAACAGGGCCACCAAGAAACAAGACTGAAGGGCTCATATCAGTTATCCTCTTCTAACTCTTTACATGCTGAGGCAACTGAATAACAGGTGTCTAGTTATAGAACAATCCACAGGACAGTTATGTGATACGTTTCATATCAGAAATAATAAAACACCTCCCAACACTGCTGATTGCAAAACTTGGGSAGAAAAGGCCAGAGCTGCAATAACACCCCCATCAGAGGGCAGGAGACAAAGTCAAGAACATCAGCAACTCTATCAGAGTTCACTCCAGCAGGGTGTATCCTAGGGGAATAATACTCCAATGATCATTGGGAGTGCTCCCACCTCAGTTCATAGAGGATTGCATTTCCTACTCCTCTCAAACCCCCTCTTCATCTGTCCTCACTTTTGATCCAGTTGCAGACTCCARCAAACACCAGGTAATATCAAAACCRGACACTRAAGACAGCAGTCACCAAAAGGTGGTCAAGGGAACATGAGGGCTGCACTAAAGGGACATATTAAAGCAGAAATGTCCAAGCCACAGGCAGGGATATTTGGGCTAGGCAGAAAGACAAGGTGCATGCTACAGACCTGAGATCAAGCKCTGAGGCACGTCTTTGAAATGGGAGGTTTCTATTACCACTTYATTTTACCACTTCAAAATATTTCAGGTGTTTACTTCCCTCCTTTGTAAGTGCAGATCTGCTAGTGGTTTCTTGCCCTGTAGGAGGTAAAAGTTTTGTATTTCTTATGTAAGTGTTACATTACAACAAGCAGCCTAGCTATCAGTATTTTACTAGACCAATGTAGACATTCAAGCATCCTAAACCTCATGGCCTTTGTGTCACCTCTGCAAAACCTTATACAAGAAGAAATTAATTTGGCTTGAGCTGCCTCTTCCTTTCTGCTGCTCACCTACAGCTCTTAAGGGCTGCTGCTCTTTCCATGGTGCACACACCACTCACAAGCTTTTTTGTAGCTACTGAAAACTTGCCTATCATGCCAGAATATACTGGTTTTTTTTAGATAAAGTTTCTTCCTCCAGTTAAAGCCAACCTTCCCACAGAGTTGAATTGAATACAGTTCTGTGGCAGAGTACAGAAAAACCACAGTTCTAGAAATTTGCCATGTGATCTCCCAGGACAAGGTATGAAGCCAACACCTAAATTCTGCCCCGGTTCTG